GCCGAGGCGTAGCTGGCAAGCGGCAGAGACGGAGCAGGCCGACCACCAGCTGGCCCAGCCCAAGGGAGGTAAGGCACCCGCCGGAAAAGGGGGAAAAAATGGCGGACAAAAAAAATGGCAGACAGCCTTGCTTGGCGACCCCCGTGAAATGGTCGATCGACCCCAAATGGGGTCCCGACCCACAGGTTGAGAACCACTGCTCTATGGTATATGGCTGAGTGCCTGGATATCATTCAGTTGGCTTATTTTGGGTTGATTTTATAAATCTAGTAAGATCAGAGAAGACTTGTTAAGGATTTCCCCCCACCCGGAAGGAATGACATCTGCAGAGATCCAATAGGTGAGCATTTATGGCGACAGTCCTCTTTTTATGGAACAGCTTACCCTTGGATATCCAGACCATTCCCTCTTAGTTATTTTCTAAAAAAGACTCATATAAAACATGACTGGCTAGGAAGGCCTTGAATATAAACTATACTACTCTGAAAATGTGGTATAGCAAATTGAGGTCGATCTTTTTATTGGATCATTTGTAATTATTTCCCTCCTGTTTCTCTCTGTATGGCCTTGTTGTAAGCTAGTCATTATGACCGGAGTGTCATACAAGTTGGAATACACAAAGGGAAGATTGAATAAATAAAATACACTATAACTTATACAGGAAGTTCTCGATTTACAACAGTTCATTTAGTAACCGTTCAAAGTTTCAACGATACTGAAAAAAGTGACTTATGACCTCTTTTCACAGTTATGTCCTTTGCAGCAGCCCCACGATCATGTGTTCAAAATTCAGATGCTTGGCAATTCATTCATATTTATGAATGTTGCTGTGTCCCATGGTTGCGTGATCCCCTTTTGCGACCTTCTGACAAGCAAAGTCCATGGGGAAGCCAGATTCATTTGACAACCACGTTACTAACTTGTTAACTGCAGTGATTCACTTAACAACTGAGGCAAGAAAGGTCGCAAAATGGGGCAAAACTCACTTAACAAATGTCTCACTTAACAACAGAAATTTTGGGCTCAATTGTGGTCGTACGTCAAGGATTACCTGTAGTGTTTTACAGAAAAAACCAATTATCCAAAAACAGCTAATGAGGACAGCCTTTATATTGCTTCAATTATAGCTGGTTGACGCTATCGGTATACTTTTAGCCATTAGTAGAAAAATGTGGGCACACAGCAATTAGGTTTTACCTCCTTCTGGGGGTCACTTCTAGTCTTTTGATATGTCCACACAATCTTGGNGGGAATGGTTCCTTGAAGCACCTGTGAGGGCAGGATATGTGGGTCCAGAATCCATGGGAATTGTGAAGGAAAGAAACTGCTTCTGCTCAGACGGAATGACAAATATGGACATTTAAATGACTGGAAAGGATGGATTCTGATGAGACATCCAATCAATCCTCTGCCATATTTTTCTTTTGTGTTGGGTTTTCCAAGAACAAGGAAGATACTGGATTTGGGCAAGAAATAGGCAAGAATGGTCTAAATAAAATTTGGGATTCTATCCTTGATTTCACACTTTATAGGACTGGTAGATGTATAATTTTCTACAATTCTCTTTGGATTGTTTACTTATTCCCCTCTCATTTTTTTCATGCGAAAGTTGGATTGTGTGTGGGTAGAGAGGCAAGACAGGAAAGAATAAAATGAAGAACTGTTCCAATTCATTAATTACAGAGTGTGAGAGATTGGGAAGAGAAGCTGTTTGTGGACAAAAGGACATAGGTGGTTGAGGGGGAACGTACCCTTTGGCCCCTCCTCTTTCTATCAGATAGATCAGGAGTAGTCAACCTTGGCTCTTTTATGACTCGTGGACTTCAACTCCCAGAATTCCTGAGCCAGCTATGCTGGCTCAGGAATTCTGGGAGTTGAAGTCCACGAGTCATAAAAGAGCCACGGTTGACTACCCCTGAGATAGATGATGGCATAACTTCAGATTTTGGATGAGAGAGAGTCCCGTGGGGATTGGTTGTGCTGGAAATTCCTTTAAAGAATCCATTCAGTTCTATAACTCTAAGTGGCAGGATCATTTTAACTGACTCCCCATTCCTGCAGGAGGGCAGTTATGTTATTAGATTAGATCTAATCATTATTGTGGGATCCAATGGTAGACACAGGGCAGTCATAAAGGCTATGAAATTCTGATCTGGAATTATAAAACAATCTTACTGAATAAGTATTGAAATTCCCAGGTTGGCTGTCAATGACTTAGCCATTGAAGGCGTTTGGCAGCAGAGCAGAAAGTGCACCAACAGTATCCCAAGTCTATTTTATTGAATTAACTCCAAGGTAAGATCCTTGTAACAGTTATTTTGGTGAGTGAGATAATATTCCTATTATATACCTACGAAGCACAAGCAAAATCAATGGGGAAGCCAGATTTACTTAACAACCATGTTACTAATTTATCAGCTGTGGTGATTCACTTAACTGTGGCAAGACAGGTCATAAAATGGGGCAAAACTCACTTAACAAATGTCTCAACAGAAATTTTGGGCTCAGTTGTGGACCTAAGTCGAAGGACTACCTGTATTAAAGAAAGTGCAAATAAGATGTGTTGCACTAGAATTTATCACTGGCTAAAATATATTCATTGGAAGAATAGTACATAATTTACATATACATTTCTTGGGGGAGGGGAAATGAATGCAGAAATAGCTGGGAAAAGGAAACAGTGGAATTAAATGTCCTCCTTGCTCACAGCTATAATGTAAGTACATCAAGAACTTTAGCACTCTTTTGATTCATGCATTGAAATTTGAATATTTGTGCGTGGGTATATAACAGTGGTGGTGAACCTATGGCACGGGTGCCAGAGGTGGCACTCAGAGTCCTCTATGTGGGCATGCGTGCCGTCACCCCAGTCCTAGGCCTTCAGCTGGGTTTTATAAAACCTTTTCGCTTTAGGCCTCCGCCGCCATGTTAAAAAAAAAAAGGTTCAATCAATCAGTCAATTTCAACTTCTCGCAGGAAAAAAAAAGATCTTGCAAAGTTGGAATTGATTGATTGAACTTTTTAGTCCCACCCAGTCTGCCGTTACCACCGCAGCCATGCCCACCCAATGGGCCACACCTACCCAGCACCCGACGATGCATAAGTGGGCTTTGGGTTGCAGTTTGGGCACTCGGTCTCTAAAAGGTTCGCCATCACTGGTATATAACATGCTATGCTGAATCAAAGAGCCCCTCTATATTTTGGTTTAATGTGATACCTTGGCTCTCATAACATGTAAAGACAATTAGTTTCCCACAAGATGTTGAGCAGAAAAGCCCCAAGCTTGTTTCGGCCCAGGCTGTTCAATTGGGTGAGCAGATTTAAGAGCACTCACATCTCGAGCACAAGATACTGGGATCTCCATTCCTCACATCCTGGCGTCGGAATCGCCTGTTGGGAAAGAATAGGAAAAGATTTGCCAAGCATTCTTCTGGGGTTGGGACTGAAGCCTCAGATCTACATAACCACCATTCACACGGATTACATCCAGGAGCCACGCAAATACTGTTGGGATTGGCCCCCAAGGTATCCTTAGCCATACCGTTTAGTATTCTGCAGGTATCGAGTGCAGGTGGTGCCATCCCAGGCACAATAGGGGTCCCTCGCTAGGCAACATTCTGCACAAGCTTTGCCATACATCCCACAACGGTGCAAGGGCAGTTGCGAAATGGAAGTCCTGGATCCCAGGTACAGCTGTTGCTGTTGGGAGACAAAGCCACACAGTCTCCTTAGGGCCCACTAATATCTGGATGGAAAATAACCTTCTGCTTGTAACAAGTTACCATTTTGAGAAACAGTTTCTGAGACCTAATCTAGGCTGTCAGGCACTGCTATAATAATAATAACAATAACAATAACAATAACAACAACAACAACAACAACAACAACAACAACAACAACAACAATAATAATAATAATAATAATAATAATAATAATAAAGTTGGAAGGGACCTTGGAGGTCATCTAGTCCAACCCCTTGCTCAGGCAGGAAACCCTATACCATTTCAGACAAATGGCTGTCCAGTCTCTTCTTAAAAACTTCCAGTGTTGGAGCATTCACCGCTTCTGGAGGCAGGTTGTTCCACTGGTTAATTGTTCTAACTGTCAGGAAGTTTCTCCTTAGTTCTAGGTTGCGTCTCTCCTTGATTAGTTTCCATCCGTTGCTTCTTGTCCTGCCTTCAGGTGCTTTGGAAAATAGCTTGACTCCCTCTTCTTTGTGGCAGCCCCTGAGATATTGGAACACTGCTATCATGTCCCCCCCCTCGTCCTTCTCTTTGTTAAACTAGACATACCCAATTCCATCAACCTTTCCTTATATGCTTTAGCCTCCAGTCCCCTAATCATCTTTGTTGCTCTTCTCTGTACTCTTTCTAGAGTCTCAACATCTTTTTTACATCGTAGTGACCAAATGAATGTACTGTAATAAGTGAGAGGTGAATGGAGAATGGCTATGATCAGAACCTTCTAAATTAAAACGAGGTATATAGCAGGTATCCATAACCTATGAAGATGGTAGGCAGTCAAAAAGAAATTAAGTAGAAAACTACTTTCCAAACATGAACATTTTAGTTCTTTTGTTCATGGACATCCCAAGGGAAAGATACTTGAATGCAATACAATGTCCCAAAAGATGATCATCATTATCATTAAAAAAAATAAAATCTCTTGGACAGGAGAAATGCATGCATAGAATCACCCCTGTTCTGATCATCTTCCAATACCAGTTTCTCTCCCCACCTGCAATGATTTTAATTATTTATGAATCAATGCAGTTAAAGAGAAGTTTGCCCCCTGGTTTTCATAAGATAGCTTCCCAAAGTTTTTCTGTTGCGCTACATACCCGCTTGGATGAGATCTGCATGCTAGTAATAGGAGAGGAGTCCTGTCAACGAGAAACGGAAATAATTACGAGGGTATTGAAGTGCTGATAAAAAAAGCCACATCCTTTCAAGACGTTCTCCAGGTAACTGGTAGTAATGGGCAGAAGGAATAATCTTGAGGAACAACAGGAAGAGCCACAAGCAAGACAACAGTCAGATAAAAAAAATCTGAGTCCAGGCCAGATTGAAGATTGAGAAAGTTCCTAGGCAGGATTGTCCCTAGTTATCAGAGAGTTAGAGGGAAGGAGGGGATAAGCACATCCAGACTTGCAAGAGTCTGTTAGTGCAACCTTATAATAAAAGTAGTATTGTTCTATATGACTTTGGTTTCTGTGTCTGGTCTACCTTGAAAGGGTAACACAGCTTCCGGTGGGGCTTTGCACTATCACAGCCTGAAGCAGGAAAAGTGAAAGCACCTAAAATGGCTAGGACAGCGCCTGCACGTAACCCAGTCATCCCAATCTCGATAATTGTGGTTCTAGCGGTAACAGATGATCACATCAACAGGTAAGGTTGTGCAGTGTTTTGGATTGCAGAGGGAAAATATTCTGCAGGCACAAAGATTTGAAGGTAACATCCATCATGTCTTTTGCCAGGATTGCTTGGCTGCCCCATTGCAGCCTGGTCCTAGGAAAAGATCTTTTTGGTTTAAGGAGTTGCACACAGATGCAAACATGAGTATTCCCAGGCACTCTGATTATGTGCTATCAAGTGTTTTGATTCCTAGCAGATAGATAGATAGATAGATAGATAGATAGATAGATAGATAGATAGATAGATAGATAGATAGATAGAGTGCTTTTTTGTAACAAAAAGATAGATAGATAGATAGATAGATAGATAGATAGATAGATATAGATTAGATAGATAGATAGATAGATAGATAGATAGATAGATAGATAGATAGAGTGCTTTTTGTAACAAAAAGATAGATAGATAGATAGATAGATAGATAGATATAGATAGATAGATAGATAGATAGATAGAGTGCTTTTTTGTAACAAAAAGATAGATAGATAGATAGATTGATAGATAGATAGATAGATAGATTGATAGATAGATAGATAGATAGATAGATAGAGTGCTTTTTTGTAACAAAAACACATATTATACAACCTGTAACACATATCATACAACCTGCCTTGCCTACCCTACAAGGTTCCATCCAAAAAAGGTTCCATCCAAAAAAGGTTCCATCCAAAAAAGGTGCCGGATTTCCGTTCTGGGCGTTCTGTGACAAAAAAAGCCCTGGATAGATAGATAGATAGATAGATAGATAGATAGATAGATAGATAGATAGATAGATAGATAGATAGATAGATAGATAGATAGATAGATAGATAGATAATTTGATAGATGATAGATAGATAGATAGATAGATAGATAGATAATTTGATAGATGATAGATAGATAGATAGATAGATAGATAGATAGATAGATAGATAGATGATAGACAGACAGACAGACAGACAGACAGACAGATAGATAGATAGATAGATAGATAGATAGATAGATAGATACAGGCAGGCAGGCAGGCAGGCAGGCAGGCAGGCAGGCAGACAGACACATTCTGAATCAACCTTCAAACCCAGTGCACTGCACAGTCCCATTAATTTAACCAAAGTCACCCTGGGGAATGCAGAGTCCTGACTCCCTTGCTCTAGGAAGTGCTTGATAACCAATGAGGCCTTGCATCAGGAGAGTCCTAGTAAGGGTAAACGGTATTCCTATGGTACAGCCAATTTAAGTTTAACAACTGAGGTTGTTTTAAATTAAATTTAAACTCTAGGGGGTTAAATGATTGGATCAACATTTTTGGTGTTCCCTCAACATATTAATATTTTTCATTGGTCCAATTAAGTATACTGATGGTACTACCCTCTGAACTACAAACTAGCTAATGATAGTTTAGTTTCTTAGAGAATGTAAGCAGTTGGGTTAATTCCATCAACCATGGGAGAAGCATCTATGGTAATTGTATTATGTGAACAAAGTCTATACTTTAATATTGTTTTAAAAAGTAGCTATTCTTGCACAAGGCCATACTAGCTGTCTTCAAATTGTTCAAGCTCACCTTGAACACCTGAAGTTCCTCCAGCAGCAATTCTTCCACATTTTGCCATGAGTCCTTCGGCACAGAGACGACCTTCAAGACTGTGCCAATGTCTGCCAGGCAAAGGGAAAGTATAACCATTTTGCACAAAAAAGAGGTTATAGGCATCTGCGTTGGCTGAACTACACTCTTGTTTTTCCTCCATAGCCAAACAGAAAACATGAAAGTTTCTAGCCGGGCAAATCAATTTACATACAAAATCCAAACATGTTGCTAGTTGTTCAGCGTCAATGGAGTGCATCTGATGGGGAAAGCAACTTTAATATACTTGGTTATTATTTCCAAGGGCCTTGATTTCAATATCTATTGATTTTTTAAAATCACAGTATCAAAGAACCAGTGAGAAGTTGGACCATCAGCAGGAAGTCAGGAACATTTGGAAATAAAAATGCTCTTGCAGCTATTAAGGGCTCCAGTTTGATTAAGATTGCAATGTGGATGACGTATGTTTTTTTTCCCTATGCTATAGTTTTCATCCCCAAGAATCTTTTCCAACTTCTTGCTGTGCACATGTATAGGACTTGAGTTCATAGAGTTCCGAGTTAGTAAGGATTTGGTTCCAATCCTTATGACACCATGGAGACTGAATATCATTTTGTGCTTCATTTATACCAGAATAATGGGATGATCACCTAAGTCTGAATGACAAGTAAATGTATGTTTCCTGGGTTCATGGTTGTTTATGGCTGCTTTGGTTATATACATTTTCAAATTAATGTATTATTCATATGCAAATATATAGCATTGAAAGAAAAATACAGTGGAAAAAGCAAAGGAACTGCAGGCGGTGGCTGAAGAAAGAGTAAAATCAGGCTTAAAATGACCTTTGGAGCTAGGAGCTGTGTTTCAAAAAGGGAGGACCCAAGAAAGTGAAGTAGATGAGGTCAGGAGACAACCCCCCCCCCCCACAATATATGATGTTACTTAAACAACATTCGATTCATTAAAACAACTAACAGGTATTCTATGCATGAATTTAAAGACATCTTTCTTCTAACATATTAAAATTACAATTTAGAGGCAACTTGTGTTTGCCTATGAATCTCTGCTCTATATTTGGTTCTGCTACAATAAATAAGCTTCCTCAAAGCTATGAGCCAAGTCAGAAAAAGGACACCAACATTTTATCTTGGAGCAAGGGACATCCTCTAGCATGCAGTTTTGAGAAGCAACTAAAAACTTGGCCTGCATCTCTATACTTATTCATCAGAAGAGGAGGGAAGCAGACATACCTGTGCCAATGAAGAGGACATCATAATGTCCATCGGCAGCTGCCACTCGGTCTACTGCAATGCGAGTGAAGATGTGGTCCATGTTGGTTTGCAGGAAGACAGGCCTTTGGCCATGGGGCAGTACTGGATTATACATTAATGGATGGTTACGAGCAAACTGGATCACATCATCAGGGTAATCCTTGGTGGAACTAAAGGTGCCAAAGGTTTTGCTGGGACACTAGAAATTCAGAGAGAAGGAAAGCAAAGAGAGGCAACGTCCCAAACATTGAAAAATGGTCTACTCATAAACGTTTCCTACCACAGCCCTCCATTTTTCCCACTTGGCTTTCATTCTATAATTTCCTTTCCTTCTATTTCAATCAAATCCCATAATCATTTTCCATTCCATTCAACTCAACTGCTGCCCCTCCCTTCTGATCTCTTTCTTCACTGTTTGCCAAACCCCAAGTATCGCCTAGAATATAAGCAAAACTCCTTCCTGGGTATGAGTCAGATATCACTCAATAATCATCCCAATCTCTAGAGAGTTTTCTTGGGTAGAAACGCTTTCTTTTTCATATTTCAAGATCTCAAATCCAATGTACTTACCGTTCCTGGTCGGGGATAAGGGACCCGCCCTTGATAGGAAACCCACTGATAGTTAGGCCCCTCCTTGTGAGCAAAAGGACCAAGGAAAGCTCTGCGGATGTCATTCATGTGATACACGCAGACAGCAGAACCTTTGAAAACTGTGCTGTAACCAGAAGAAAAAGAAACATTGCAGGAAGGATAAAGAAATGAAAGCCAGAAGGAATGCGTATCCCACTGCCCTCTAGTAATGTGGATTATAGATCCTGCCTGACTTCCACTCAAAAGGCACTGGGTAGCATATTTCCCTGTTTAACAATATTGTCAGGTGGGTGGGGTGGAGAAGAAAGTTTAAAAAACAATGGAAGATTATAAAAGTTATTATATTATTATTTGTCTTTGGTTGATGGATTGAGGCTCATTGTGAAAAAGCAAAGTGGATACAAGAAGCCTGAATTCTGCCCACTGTTGATGTAACAAAGACTATTTTCTTTTTACCTGGAAGTGGTGAAAACTGCGTACAACAATGGGTTACGCTTATCCCTGGTTGGCAACAAGAAGACATCACCTGAGTTCAACAAGAAGGGAAGAAATCATCAGCCTGCAGCTTGGCACCAGATGAATGACAAACCACTTCTATCCAAAGGAGAGAAAGACTTTCTTTCAACCCAGACATTAAAACATTCACCAAGGAAGGGATAAATCAAGTCCCCATCCCTGTTCATCTTGCTACTAGAACAGTGATGGCGAACCTTTTAGAGACCGAGTGCCCAAACTGCAACCCAAAACCCACTTATTTATCACAAAGTGCCAGGCCTGCATCAGCATTGTGGTGCCCTCAGGGGGGCTGCAGTGATCACGCAGACTGGGTGAGCATGGCCGGGGCCAGTCCCTCGCCATCTCCGGGGCATGCCCGGGGGACCAACATCGCTTGCTCGCTCACTTCCTGCACTGTCACTTCCAAACTCCACATACTCACTACTCTGGCGAACTCTGCTGGGGCAACGGCACGCGTGCTCACAGAGAGGGCTCCGAGTGCCGCCTCTGCCACGCGTGCCATAGGTTCACCATCAATGTACTAGAACATCCTAAACCAGCCTTTGCCAGCCTAGGGACCACTGCATTTATTTGGGAAAAAAATATCCACAATCCCCAGCCATCACAGCCTAATTTCACGTTGGCCGGGGACAATGGGATAATATAGTCCAACTATCTGAAGAGCTCCAAGTTGCAGAAGGCTGGACGAAATCCATTTTTTAAAAAAGAAGTTGCCAAAAATCAACTCTGTGAGAAGACAAGAATACCAGATGGTAATATCTGAAAAGTGAAATTACGTGGTTTCACTGTTGTAATTTTGAGGATATGGAGCTCAGAATGTTATATTATATTAACATTCAGAAAAGCCAGATTGCAAATGGACATTTTTCAAGGGAAGTGGGTTGTTTTATTAAACTCTGGGACAAAACTTCTCTGCATTTCAAAATATAATTGTTAACTTGTAAAGAACATTTCTTTTAGTTCTGAAGTGGTAATTGGAACTATAATAATGCTAATGGCAATAAGTTAAAGAAGCCAAATCATTTACCGGAGGTTTTTTTACCGTTATCATTATTACAATTCCAATTATGTTAGCCCTTCCAAACTAAAAATAAAAAATAAAAAATGTACAATCGTGCACATATTTCTGTACTACAAACTATATAGTCAGATGTGAGAGGAGAGACAGTCACCACCAAGGAAGGACAATCTGAACTCAGCTTTTTTAACTGAGATAAGACCTATTCTAAGATCAAGAATACTAAAAATAAAGGAACATTAAAATAAATTAAATTGCAGCAGAAAAGAGAAGGAAAAGCACTTAAGAGTGTGAGATAGATGCATTATTCCTTCTGTCAGCTTCATGCCAACCTCATTTCTGCTGCTTGATAGTTTGACAACATTTTCCTCATTTAGAACCATTTCAACCCTGAACTCACGAAGGTGGTCAAAATGCGTGTCACTCCCATCACTGCCGGGTACCGCACACACCAGCCGGGCCTTCAGGAATGTTGTCCATTTGTTCACCAGGCTTCTCTGCCCACCCATATCATTCTAAAGGGAGAAGAAGAGACCTATCAAAAAAGCTGGTTGGAGAGCTGGCTGCAAAGGTTAATGGAGTTAGCAAAGATGGCTAAACTGATTAAAGAAAAAACACAATTGCTTTTGTTTCTACTTGGAAACCGTTTCTGGACTTTGTGCTTGAGGTGAAAAAAAAATAAATTTGATTTTGAGTTTTACCGATTAGATAGGTTTGTTATGTAAAAGTAAAAAGTTGAGGTTTGATGCTATTATCTTATTCTACTGCACCAAAGGGAGTCGGAAGTCAATGCCTTTTCTTTCTTTTTCCCTTTTTCTACACTTTTCCCTTCCCTTTTCCCTTCCCTGTCTTTCCCATTATTTTCTTTCGGATTTGTGTATTTTATATTACAAACTAATAAAAAAGAGAAAAATAAAAAAGCTGCTTGGGGAGCACAGAGAATTATGTACAGAGTGGCCAGCTGATTCTGGGATCCCCAAGGAGCTCCAAATTTTTAATGCAAAGGGGCTCAGTTGGACATAAAACCTAATGCACACCTAACAATGGGCGTGAGAGGTTATCCCAAAGGTGCCTTTATCCCAAAGGCAACTGGGCTTTCTTGTTGTTTTTTTCCCTTAGAGAACAGTTCACTTCTCTTGGATGAGAGGCAAAATGTTTTCTGAGAAAAAAAACCTCCCAAGAAAGTCCAGTTGCCTTTGGGAAAAAAGCACCTTTGGGACAACCATGACCTGGATGATTGAGAATTTCCATGGACATTGGTGAGAGGTTGATTTTTACTGCTTTCAAACCATTGCTGTGATGGAATCCTTTTTAACCAGGGGTCTTCAAACTTGGCCCTTTTGTGACTTGTGGACTTCAACTCCCAGAATTCCTCAGCCAGCGTGCCTGGCTGAGGAATTCTGGGAGTTGAAGTCCACAAGTCATAAAAGAGCCAAGTTTGAAGACCCCTGTTTTTAACCCTTCAACAGTCAGTTGTTGCTGTAGAGTCCCTTGGAAACATCTGCTCCAGGGCAGGGATCCTCACCCTTCCAATAAAGCCAGAGCTAACTCCCAGCCATCTATCTTCACCAGACTTTGTCTAACTCCCGAGCCTCCTGACCATCCTCATCTTGAGACTGGAGTACAACAATCGTACCCGGCAAATTTGCCCAATGCGTGCAAATGTCTGTTTGCCGAGGCCTTGGGATCCTTCCACTGCTGTTTCCCGGAAGAAAAAGAAGATCTTATCATCATCAGGGTTCTCACTCTCTGGGATCCAGAAGACATCAATGAACTTGGGTTCTTGAGTCAAAGAAATGGAAGAGAATGTTAATACAGGACAAAACAACACAGGTCATTCTTTCCAGGCTTGCAAAAGGCTGCCTTGGAGAGAGGGTAGCAAAGCAAGGTGAGAGACAGGCAATGTTGCAGGGATAACCTGCTTCCTGGATTCTGGTTTTCCTTCTACTTAAGATGAAATCTCAGCCATGAGATATTTTCCTGTGACATCTATGCCAAAGCTCCTTTTAGGGACAAATTAAGCAGGACATGGGAGATCATCCTTCTCAAAGATCAGAAGACATGATGTCTCCTTCAAGTTAAGCTCAACTTCTGCTAACTTTATGGATATGCCTATGTAGTTTTTATTGCAAGAATATGAAAGTGGCTTGTTCATTCCCTTTTTCTGGTTGGTTTCTTTTAGAGCCTGAGGATTCCCTAGCAGTCATCATTCAGGTATGAATCAGATCTGACTCTCCTTCACTTTCAAGATCAACCAAAGACAGCTAGATCCTGAGACATGGGGAACTAAATCCGAAGGCATTTGCACACAAACTTCATTGTGAGGCTACAGGCTTTCCTCATATAGGTAAGAGAATTTCATGGGACTGTGATTTTGGACTGTCCACAGCTGTGGTTAAAAAATAAAGAGTCAATATTAAGGCTATGGCAGTGTGACTGAAGATCCATCTGTTTATTATATGCTGCACATAAAAAAACAGATTGTACTTTAATTGCACTGTCACAGCCAACTTCTCGACTTTTTTTTGACCAAATCCTGAGGACATTCCCTGCTTGTTTTTATTATTAAATTCAGTTATTCTCTGTTGTCCTTGAAAAAAAGTGAGAAGAAAGACAACTAGTTGGTTCAGGACATTTACAAGAGAGGAAGTTCACAGGATTGCCTTCCCCAGTAATTCTCCTTTGATGTGTTGGGATTTATAATCCCAGTTTTACAGCCAGTGTAATCATCCAGATTGCTACTTCCATAAATTTGAAAACAGCAGTGTAGAACTGCCTTAATGAATCAAATCAAACAAAACAGAAAACACACATCCTGCAGAGCATTCCAATGTTTTCCCTTCCACTTTCTCTTCCTGAAATCTCAGGTCATAACAGTGACAAGCTTTGATCACTAGATGGCAGCTTCCATTCATAAGTCACTAAACAACAAGTGAGCAACTTGACTTGCCACAAGACAGACCAGAATTGTAAGATATAAGACAGTGATGGCGAACCGTTAAGAGACTGAGTGCCCAAACTGCAACCTCAAACCCACTTATTTATCGCCAGGTGCCAGGTGGGCATGGCCCACTGGGTGGGTGTGGCTGTGGTGGTCATGGCAGATTGGGTGGATGTGGCCAGGGTGGGTGTGATCACCTCGATGTTGCTCGTGGGGAGGGACGCCTGTGGGAGCAGGGCAGGGTTGGGGGAGATCCAGGGGGTCTCTGGCAGGTGGGGCGGTGGGCAGTAGGCTTGTCCTGCAGAGTGAGGCAAGGCAAGGTGAGGCAGGGCAGGGGTGCCATTGTCACAGGGCAAGGTGAGGCAGGGGCTGGGGCGGCTGCTGCCTGACACCATCGGCCACTGCACACAGAGGCCAGCGAGCGCATGGGGGCTGGGATGCATCCAGCCATGTGGGACCTCATCGAGTTAGCGGGCGGCTGGTTGAAGAGGGACAGTTGCCATCTCCAGGGCATGACACGCGTGCCCACAGAGAGGGCTCTGGGTGCCGCCTCTGGCACGCGTGCCATAGGTTCGCCACCACTGATATAAGATAACCTTTATTGTCTTTTTTTACTGTGAGCACAATGGCACACATTAAAAATGAAATTCTGTTGCCTGCTCTGAAAAGTGTACACATACATATCACACATATAAATATGCTATATCCAACATATGTATCTACCTAAACACTTACGTATAAATAACATATAAATATTAATCACTGTCCATTTTGAATACATAGCGGAAAGAAGAAGCTTGAGAGTTCAGAAGATTAATACTATATGGAACAAAACTGTGACAGAATCTGGATGTTCTGCTTTGGATACCACAAAGCCCACCTCCCAGAAGGTAACAAGGAAAACAGGTTGTGAAGTAATAATGAATTCTAGATTCTCTGAGATTTTAAAGGGCATTGTTTCTTTCAGCCTCCGTATGTCTCCCTTTCTAGGACTGACTCACGTCCTGCACTATAGGTCTCCTTCTCAAAAACCCTCCACTGACCATTGAGCCATCGGGAATCATGCTGCTCCGTGCGGACAGAAGGCCTCGATCCCAGGCTGCGGAAGATGGTGAAGTCTCGGCCCATCAAATCAGTAGCCACACCAGAATAAAGCTCTTCACCTGCCCAGTGCAAAAGGAGAGAAGTTTCAAAAGCTTTCAGGCTTCCAAATCTCCATTGACATCTCAGAGAATGTTCCACATTTTCTTTGTGTGGCCTCTGGGAAAGATCCCAAGGTATCAGTTGAGGAGGGGGCACTGCGTTAAGGTGAATGAACTACCATCCCAGCAGCTGCATCCTTAGTGTAAAGCAGGGGCCCTCAACCTTGGCCACTTTAAGACTTGTGGACCAACTCCCAGAATTCCTCAGCCAGCAAAGCTGGCTGTGGAATTCTGGGAGTTGAAGTCCACAAGTCTTAAAGTGGCCAAGGTTGAGAACCCCTGGTGTAAAGTGTCAGCTGATCCCATCTGTTCCCAGGGCAGATGGAGGGAGGAAAGTTAGGGGTTTCAAAGGATCCTACATGAGATCTTACATGGGTCTTGTTTTCTCGTCTCACCTTTCTTTGGGGGCTAGATCATTGTTTGGGGGCCCTTCCCGTTACCTGCAAGAACTGAGGCAGCTGTGTGATTTGGATCATAGGGACTTTTGCCTTTGCCATCCTCCAGGCTCTCGAAGCCGAGCTTGAAGACAGAATCCTAGAGAAAGGAGCAAACATGTCCATCAAGAGAAGCGTGGAGCTCCTGTGATTCTTTTGCTCACCTTCGTCTTTACCCCCCCCCCAGACACATGTACACTTTATGAACCTTTGTGCATCACTCACCTCCACACGTTGGCCCACTTCTACAAAGCCACAGATGGGGTGAAAAGCCCCAGTGCCACAGGAGTACAGGTGCGTGCGGTTGTAGAGATGTAGGATCTTAACAAAATTCATACACTCGGCCTGAAAAGCAAGAGCAGATCCTGTAACTGAGCAAGCCTAATAAACGACTCCAAGTAGAAAAAAAACTGCTGAAAGAGAAGGAAGGAGAGTAGCTGGAAAGCAGTGGTCAATTAACAGGAAAGCTTGCAGAAAGCAGAGAGCATTTCTCCAACTTCCCATCAAATGCTTTTTTTTTTCAGGTGCCAAAAAGAGCAGCTTGCAGAGCTGACAAAACTGGGAATGGAGAAAAAGAGTCCAGAGCAAGACATGAAGCACAGTTTGTTGGCATTTGCTGTCTCGGTGCATTCCTTACTTATGGAACCCTCCCCTGACGTTGATGGAATGCCAGCACATGTGGGAGCCTTCCTTCACTTTCGTTTACATCAAATGAGATGGACTAGTGGTGCTGTGAGGCCCATGACTCATTGGGATGACAGCACATCTTGCTGCCTGTTTTTCCCAGCAGAGGGCACTGAAGGGAGAGCAGCAGTTCTGCAGCAAAAACTTGATGCAACACTCAGAGAGTCAAAGAGATTTGGGGATTGACGGGGGTCGGGGTGGGAGATTTCGTGCCTGCCACCAGCAGATACAGAGAACCCTGCTCAACTGCCACACGGTCTACTTCCTTCTCCCCCAGGCTCTGTCAGGAGGTAAACATTTGTCTGATTTAGTGTTAAGCAGGATTTACTCATTAAAAAGTGTCAGGTTATTTAAATGTCTGGAACAACTCAGGCAGAAGGGCAACCTTTCCTTCTCAAGAAATGGGCCATAAATAGAAGTGGGGTGGGGGATAATAAGCATACAGTGGGGAAAGGAGAAGATATCCAGGGCCTCATCCAGCACCACTAGGCACTCAAGAACCTGCCTTACAGCAGGGTTTTGCAACCTTGACAACTTTAAGATGTGTGGACTTCAAATCCCAGAATTCCCCAGCCAGCATACTGGCTGGAGAATTCTGGGAGCTGCAATCCACACATCTTAAAAAGTTGCCAAGGTTGAGAAATGCTGTCTTACAGAATTGTCTCCCAATAGTTCTTGAAAGGTAACAGAGAACAGGCCTATTGAAGCCACCAAGGCTGAAGAGAGCTGAATGAAGCAGGCCAAAAGGAGCCACTTCACATGCAGCCATTAGTCAGTTGCAAAGCAAACAAGTGCAATGGCAAGGACTTGCAAGCAAAGATGAAGGGGAGGGGGGGCGAGGGGGAGGGGGGAAAGAAGAGTCCCCATAATGTCAACACAATGCTCAGGGAAGGAGGGGATCAAAGTGGGGGCAGAGTGCATGCTAAAGCCCTACCACTGGCTCAGTAGTTCAGCTTTTGAAACAGACAAACCTTAAAACCAGAAAAAATGTATTAAGAGAATGCGTATAAACAGGATGCGTTTATGACTACATTTCATTTTCTTCAGTTTCTAGTGTTTCCCTTCTAACTTCATGTGTCTTCCTCTTTCACACATAACTGCCTCCCAATACCCATCAATAATCTGAATAAAAAATGTTCCATCCCCCCCACCATATCTGTTTTACAACATTCTAAGGAATACCTGCCATAAAAGAAATAATTCGAAACTATTAACAAGGGTCTATGACCACTTGCCACAGTCAACTCACTGCCGGACAATTCGCCATGGCCAACCCGCCGTGGGACAACTCTTTGTAAGACAAAAGTTACACTCATATCAAAGAAACGATGAAAAAGAATCATTAAAGAAAGGATGCAAAAGGAAGGACAAAATGGAATATGAATGGTAAAAATTAAAATAAATTTTAATTTATTTTAAATAATTAAATAGAATTGTTAAATTGTCCACAGTGAATTGTCCCATGGTGAGTTGGCCATAGCGAGTTGTCCGGCAGCGAGTTTGCTGTGTCTAGTTGACCGCAGTGAGTTGACTGTGGCAAGTTGTCCCATTTTCATTTAGCAAGGTATCACTAGTAAAAGAAGTCACCTGCACTGAGTTATTCTGTAAAAGACAGAAAGGAAGTCTCCCAACAGAAAGACAGAACAATATCCAGGATCATTGCAATGATCATTGCTAGTAGTGGAGAAACGTAATTAGAAGTAGGGAAACTAACATATCTGTGCCTGTGTCTGTGTCTGTCTGTCTCTGTCTCTCTGTCTCACTCTCTGTGCGTGTGTATCTTTGAATCAACATGGCCTCCTACCAACTGCCTGGACAAGTTTCTGCAGTTTTGTTGGCTGTTTTCTAGGGCTGAGAGAGAGTGACTGGCCAAGGCCACTCAGCTGGGCTTTATGCCTAAAGCAGAACTAGAACTTATGGTCTCTTAGTTTCTAGCCTGGTGCCTTAACCACTACACCAAACTGGTTCCTATCTATAGCTACATCTAAAGTTCCAGCAACTAAAAAAGAACAGGAGAAGGAGAAGGAGTAAATGCTAGAAAAGGAAAAAGAATGTTTCTTGTGAAAACATTGTCAGTTTTCATGAAAGGATTTGAGTGCAGTTGCATTTAAGTCTACGATCACTGAGACCACTTAATTCTTCTTCATTCCTTCTTCTTCCCTTCTGTAGAACCCCAATAATTGCAAACCCACAATTGCAAATAATCCACAATTGCAAACTCAGTCCAAGGCCCCTATGTGCCATTTTGCATTTATGTTTTTCAGCAGGCAAAATATCCCCCTCTGGAAAAAAATTCTGGATCTTCTTTCTGAGCCTTCTCTCTAAGGTTAAAGTCACTGATTGAGAGCTAGCGGCCAAGGGAAACCAAAATCCAAGAACAAAAACTATGCTCAATGGAGAGAAAACAGTTGGCCTCCCATGCCTAGCTGCTGGTAATAGGAAAGGGAAATGAGTCAGATGCCATGGTGACAGATCATTGCATTAGGCACGGGCCAGATGTTCTGGTCTTGCTGTCTCATCAGCTCTCTCAAAGCCTGGACATGCACCAGCGAATTTCTGAGGAATTTTCCTCCTGGCCATAATACACCACTGATACATCATTCATATGACAATGTGGCAAATGGCCCAAGGCAAACAGCAGGTAGAGCAGGCTGGGAAGCGTATTTCCTTTATGCTACGGAAAATGAATTGAATTGGATCAGTTTGCAAGTTAAATCCAGACTGTGGCTCAGTGGTGGACTACATGCCCTCTAAGAGTTTGCCTTCCTCAGTCATTTGTTGAGCAAATTGGACCAATATTCTGATATAAGCTGGCCATAATTGAATGCACCAACTCCCACAGAAAAACCACATAGCATTAACTAACCAGCAGCCATATGTATGATCTAATCAAGAGCAAGATCATTGTCACTTCCACAGCAAAGTACTGTATATCTCAGTATGTCAGGTCTGTTACTTCTCATCTTCACAGTTCTTCTTTTACTTTCATTGAATGCTTCTGGATCTCATAATTGAATCTAGTTGTTTACTTCAAATTTATTTCCTCTCTTAATTAATATTGATGTTCATACTGAGAGCCATAGTCAGATCTTGTAGCTAATACTTTGGTAATACTTCATCTAACCTGTGATGTTAGCATTGAATTCAAGCAAACTTCAGTCATAAAGAAAGCTAGGTTTAAACCAGGGCTCTTCAAACTTGGCCCTTTTATGACTTTGTGGACTTCAACTCCCAGAATTCCTCAGCCAGGCACGCAGCTGATGAATTCTGGGAGTTGAAATCCACAAGTCATAAAAGAGCCAAGTTCGAAGACCCCTGGTTTAAACAGACCAGGTCTTTTCTCCATCTCTTTCAAGATTGTTTCAAAACTTTGTACAAATTTGTACACAGGGAAATAGCGCTCATATTCCTTGGTTAATTATATTGGGGATTGGGAGTTTTGCTCTGTTGACTGATAATTGTTCTGCTTCTTAATCATCCCCACAACAAAACAGAGCGGCCCTGTGAGTTACTTCCATTCTCGTGAGAGAAACTATCTGCTGCTTTGTTCTCAGCCCAGAACTGGGCTGTTTTTAATAGAAAGAAAACCAATTTGGTAGGATCTTCCCCTTTATATGTGTGATGTCCTAATACAGAACCATCACTGATTAGGAAGCACGTTCTTATGAACAGGACACAGCAGGGAAGACTTTGCTTTGTCTAAAATGGCACGGCTGTCAAAACTTAAATGTACTAATTAATTACAACAAGGGCCATTCTAAGAATCTCTCTCATTCTCTCTCTATGTGTCTCTTTCTTAGACACAAACAAACACAGATGGATCTCAACCATTTGTCCCATCTACTGTGGAGACTTTAAGTAAACAGGTCTGAGGTTGTCACATCCTGTCATCACTTTTGAGTAGCCCAAGAAGACAAATAGCCCCTTCTCCTTTTGCAGGATGACCAAACAGATTAACTGTGGAGAGCTATTTGGGAGGGGAATGGGGGGGGGGATTCCGGCACAGATAGAGGCACCTTTTCCTCCATCGATAGCAGTTTCATTTTTCTGGCCACCTGCCTCCCAAGCCTCCTTGCTATCTACTGGGCTCAGTGGAGCAGAAGAGCAGTTTCTCCAGCAGGATTTTTTTGGGTTCCTATCTGGAATGAAACCTGTGGAAGACGAGGGCCTCGTGGCTGCTCTGACTTTTCTGCTCTGCCAATGAATTGAGCAAAAGCAGGAGCAGAAAAAGAGATGTTCCTGCACCACATGTCTTCTCTGTTGTGTTTTGGAGTGATGCCATGGCAACTCATTTGAGTTTTTAAGCAGGAATAATATGACTTGGGACAACTCTTGTGCTGGCACAATGCCCAGCTGTCTTTACTCTGATCGCCTCCTTGCTGGGATTTTGTTTCTGGGTCTGTTTCTCTGATGCAGAATAAAAGTTGTAACTCAATGGTAGAACACACTTATATCACAGGCAAAAAGTCCTAGATTTAGTCCCACTGGGGACAATTGGAAAAGCCCTGTTTGAAGCCGTTGACCTGTTGTCAATATTTGTACTCCACTAAATGGACCATATTGCTTTATTCACAGTAAGACCACTGCCATTATACAATACACTAAATCCTAAATACTGTACATGTTAGCAAAATACAATTGCTCAGGTTGCATAACATGACATGCCCGAACAAATAAATCACATTATGACATAACAGGACGGCTTGCTTCCTATAGGATGCTAAGATATGGCTGACTTTCCATAATATATTAAACTACAAACTACCGAGCCCTTTTAATCTAGGCCATATGTATTATGAGAAGCCAATAACTGTATTTTTGATGCTTCATACATTCCTCTGGAGTCAGTCTTGCTTGCTGTTGCTCAACACACAAATAATTAACTATACCAATGAGGTTATCATGACCACATCACTGCTGCTTGCACTTGGCCAAAAGGCCAACAGAGTTCACAGCAGCATGCCATACTCTACTTTTCAAACAGAGCAAATGTCCCAGCACTTCACTGGAAGCTAAGAAAGAGCACTGGGGAAAAGTTGGTCTCTCTTCTTCAGCAGCCATTTTAGGAATTAGGGAAGCCAACTGTTGGGAACATGAACCGTATATTTTCCGTACCAATCCTATCAACTCTATGGATTGAAGCAATTCAGGTCCCAAAATTACAAGCACCTGATATATCCACAATCTTGGTCTTGAAGCTTTTAGGTCCCACATTTCTCTTACTCATTCCCTTATTACTACATATTTAAATTATTGTGAAATAATTTACATGAGATTGTCTTTAAAAATAACAAAAGGGCTCCAGTTGGTAACAACAGAGCAACGAGGTGTTAGCGTGTGAGAGTGACTAACATCTATAATGAATAAATAAATTATTATTATTTGGTTGCTGCCCTGGTTATCAATAAACATTCAAGTTGAACTTTCAAGTCCAGGAGGCTATTTTTGATTTATACACGCCTCTTGAGACTTGACACCAGGGTGCTTCAGACATAGCCCAGCTCCTGTAGGTTCAGCCCAGCTCCTATGGGCTCAGAGGTGATCTTTTTCTGTAAAGATTCCCATTATATGATACACAATGCTCATGATGATAGATCTGATATCTTCCCCTACTGATTTTCTATAAGGAGATAAAATGTTTTTAAAGGCCATTTCAGAGTTGAATAAAGTGTGAGACCTCATTGGATGGACAAATTTACTGTAAGTTTTGATGAGATATATATATTGTGTATTTATTTGGGGGAGGCTGAACCTGATTTGAAGAAAATACCATTTCATTTAACTTTTTTTTCTAGAGTTGACCTCATGCTGCTCCTTTTTTTGGACAACCTCTATGAGTTATAACCAGGGTGCTGGGCTCCTTCTTGCTGAGCCTGACACTTATGAAGGCACAAATCTGAAGGTGTCCTGGTTCATCTCCACTCCTGCCAAAATGGTGGGAACCTTTTTCTTATCTCCTGGAAGGTCAGGATGGGTCAAAGCAAAAGAAGAATCTCTAAGTGCACCAACCAGTCCCTCTAAATGACCTTTCCAACCCTTACAGGGCCTCACCCGGCCAGGGCAGAATGCAACCCGTTGACAGACTGGGAAGAGAGAAAACATTTTACAGGTAAGAAAATTCACTTCTATAAGATGCTCAGAGGCATCTACAACAATGGAAGATCTTGGGTGAATCAGGACCCTCCAAGCTCAAGTTAACTTAGAGCCCATTAATATAACGAAAGTATTTTGGGGCTGTCTGTTCATTCACTCTGGAAGCATCTGATTTGCATAACATCTCTTAGTGCTCCTTCTCTCCCTTATGACTTTATTTATGTTCAAAGACCAGATATGAGAAAATACGAATTCCAAAAAGATGATGATGATGATAAGAAGAAGTAAAAATAGTAAAACATTAAAGCAAAATAAAGCAACAATAAAATAAGAACCAGTGACATATATAGTTTAATTAATATATTTCCCCCAACGGTCACTTACATTGATATCTTTGCCTGCCCAGTTGCATTCCTCCCTCCATTCCACAGGTGCGGGCCAATAAATCTGTGAGAGTAAAGATGGCGGAAATTAATGGCAAAAACCAACCAATGCCACCCTCCAAGAGGGTGATCTTCTAGTCCAGTCATTCATTACAGCATTGTCAAGTGCTATTAAAGCCCTGGTACTAAAGCCATTCACTGGGATGCTGAAGGCTTCCCTTAGTCCTGATCTACAATTTCCCTGCTCTTTATGTCCTAGTGCTATCAGAATGCTGTAAAAGCAATGGTGGGCTAATGGGCTGCAAGGCTGAGATCATCATAAATGCTTTGTATAGTGCAGCTCACCCAAATTAATTTTATTGAGCTTTATATGTGTACTAGTTGAGCAGTTATGCACATTTGTTCAGTAAACAAACAAGCAATCAAGCAATCCATTGGCTGCCCTTCAGACATTAACTCTTTGTGAAAACAACAAAGTGCTTGACAATAGGTATTGCAAAGAGAATCTGACAAAAAGCAATAAGAGCCTTGCTTCTTATTCTTAAAAATTAAACAGCTAATGTGCAGAAACTGAGCAGTGAATGAACTAATCTCTCGAAGCAGAGATTCCACAAACTGAGGTGCTGCCACAGAAAACTGGTGTTTCAGGAGAAAGGGGTCAAAGGTGGTTTGGCTGTATTGTGTCCTCAAAGCCTTTCTCCTGCTGGGCCGGAATGCAGTTTGCATCGATAGTCCACGGTAGAGAGTATCTGCACACTCCCCCCACCCTCCATCCCATGTCATTAAGCAGGGAACCTTCCCCAAGACATTTTGTGAGGCTCATTCTCATGAGGAGAATGTCTCTTTCCTCAGGGAAGAGAAGCTGCAATAAATTCCAAACCAGAACAGGCCATTGGAGAACAAACATTTTAAAACGTTTGAATAATGTTCTTCTTTATTCTTAATAAAACAGCTGTATCCCACCAAATTCTCAGACCCAAGCAGTTTACAGCATTTAGTCGATCTTGGGTAATCTCCAAATAGATTTTATTTGTCATATTTATTTGCTGCCCATCTCATGGATAGTGGGACCTATATAAACTGGGCCAAATCTCCTCCCACAAACTTTTGTGGGATAATCATTCCCTCCTCCATAACAAAAGGGAGGAGAAGGAATATTTGGGTAGGGTAGCCACTACGTTGTGTCTTTCCAAGGCAACACAAGCCATTGGTTGTGCTGACGCGGATGGATGCAATCCAATATTCCTGGAGGAGCCAGGTTGAGGTACAGGCCCGCTGCAGTACATAGACTTGTTACCTTCCTGTCATGCTTGCTAATGTTGTCCAGGCTCAATGATGCCATGTAGTTTTTTCCCCCCACAAAAAGCCGGCCCCTTTCTTCATCCAGGAGCAGCGCATCGTAGCAACAAGAGCGTTCCAACTCATAAGTGCGCAGCCCATGTCGCATCTTCAGGTCTGGAGAGAAAATAGAGGATGGACTGTTACACAACTACAAAAATATACAATTCTATTTATATTCTGCAGGCCAGAACGAAGAGAATCAGATGAAGCCAACCAAGTGTAAGGCAAGCTAAATAAATGAAAAGAACAAAATATTGATGGTTTAATGCTATTTCATTATGGGTACTTGTATACCTTCTATGCAGGGAACAAAGAATCATACTTGCTGCAGACTGTTGTAGGTGACTAACCCCATTTGTGCATTTCAAGAGTCCATCTGGTGAATAATTTTGTATAAATGGTTCTGGAAATCATGTTCATGACCTATGAAAAATGTAGGAGTGCCGTTCTGCTACTTGCCCATTAGGCCCATGTGGAATAATAAGAAATTATTTGTTCAAAGATAAAAACAGACTGAAGAAAATTACTGAATGGCTATACTGTGATGTGTCCATATCAGAATGAAACTATGCATACAAATACAGTGACTGAACAGAACTAAGTGATTTCTTTTTCCAGACAAAGCTGTAAGGATGAAACTTTAAAATTATGTTTTACTGTATGCTGAAGAGAGAAAACAATTGCAGTTTTACATCTCTTGTGCCTTAAGCAAGACATTTTTACACACAGAGAGATACACAGATACCTTATTACAGAATCAAATTATTAAAATTAAGTCAGTCAATACAGAAATAGGAAAAATGCAAAGTTGAACATATAAAATAGTGAATGCAGTTCACATTTCAAAACAATCCTCCAATCAGGACTTTTTGTGGTGAAATGTTTGTTCAAATGTAGAAAGATACATAAGTTCTTCTGACTGCTGTAATAACTGAGAATGGAATTCCTTGTAACAAATTTTATCATTTATTGGTTTGTTTGTTTTTTGAAATCATCAACACCTGCAGTATTCATTTCCTATTATCTTTTAAACCATTGGAATATAATTCATACTTATGACATAAAACTACATCATATTAACCAATTATGTATTTTGAGAACCACATCTCCAACCATTTATTCTGAAAATATGCACTGGTGTCTAACAGACATGAGTTTTATTGAATTAACTATAATTTTAAATCTATGAAATTGTGACAAAATGTTCCCAAATGGTTCTCTATTGACATTCATGTACTGGATGCTCAAGTTCATAATTCTATGCCCTAATAACATATAATTAATATAAATAATTTAATATATTGTAATGGCTGTTTATTATTACTAATCATAATTTTATTTTTTTGTAAAGTACAATTAAATTCTCTAATATTAGAAAGAATTCCAACCCATGACTTATGGCTCATTTCTAGGATGTTATAATTAAAAATGGCACATTGTATTTCTGCTGCAACTCTTTAAACATACAAAAAACCCCTATCATCTGATCCCCATTAATTAATCTATAGTACACAAATCACCCAAGGTTTTCAATAAAAAGATTGGCTTGCTAATTTCTCTTTTGAATTCTTCCCATAAGGTTAATTTAGCAGGATCACGGGGATCGAATTAGACTTGGTGTGCTGGAAGCTAACGCAAGGATGAATCCCTATTTTCTGAATATCAATCTCCAATATATAAGAAGTGTTAATATGTTGATGCACACATGCTCATGAGAGAAAGAGAGAGAGAGATGATAGACAGAGAGAGAGAGAGAGAGAGACAGAGAGATAGATTTTAGTTGAATTCGATCTTTGACCACCTCAAAACTGTCCAGAGAGGTCCTTCAAAACTTCAATCCTGTTTCAGATCAGTTAATAATGTATCAAAAAATCTCAAAAACCATCACTTAATTGATATGGAAGATTGAGGTTTGTCAGTGATGATGTAACCTTAATCTGAACTCTATCCCTAAATCTAACTGATCATTTGAGTACTCTACTGTACTGTACAAAGTACTGCACTTTATGTTCTCCTTCCCTGAAAAGGACAAACTGAATCTCCCTGCTGCCAATTTACACAAGCTTAAGTTTCCAAATGCAAAACATACAGTAAAGCTGAGAAAGGACAGCCTGCTGTACATCACTCTCTGCTAAAATTCCCATTAGTTCTCACTAATATTTTTTGAAACAAATAATGCATTTTCAGAGTTCCTAACAAAAAAAAAACAAATGAAAAAAATTACAAATAACTATTTGCCAATATATTTTATCAAAAGGCTTTTCTGCATCTAAGCCTCTACAGATAAATATTAGGTGCCCAAAGCCATCCTCTGGCCTCTGAGCCCTATTCATTCCTCCATTTTTTAATTCATACTACTCATGTCTTAAATTATCATTAAATCCTTGAACATTCCTGTCACTTTGCTGCATTCAACCCAGCAATCATAAACAAGTAAATGGAAAAGTCCTATAGCCTGAACTGGTAAAAGCCCTTGGGCTGTAAAGATATTAGGAAGATAACCTTTAAATCTGTCTTCTTTCTGACAAACACAAATGACTTACTCATTTCACCCATTTATAGGGATTTCTACACATTTTAAATGGCCTGTTGCTTACTAGCCTGGAAACTATGTCTTCCGTGTGAAGCAAGCAAGCACACCAGCTTATTTTTTTTCACCCAACAAACATTGACTCCTGTTGGACAGCAGAAAATCCCCCCTTTTTGCACCAAGCATTGCCTTGGACTCAAGAGGTCTCTCTCTCTCTCTCTCTCTCTCTCTCTCTCTCTCTCTCTCTCTCTCTCTCTGTGTGTGTTTGTGTGTGTGTGTGTGTGTGTGTATGCTGAAAAATCCAAGTAATGGCATTTCTGAATCCGAGATTCACCTCAGCCGTTTGTGATTAACCTGCTCCAACGTAGAGCCATTCAACAAGCCATTGACAGAGAGCTGGCTGTGGAGGAAACTGCTATTATAATCTGATTGCCCCCCATCCCAAATCCAATTTCTGCCTGTATCAAATCCCACCCTTAACACCCCTCTTTTCAGCCCGCTCTTTGATTGGTCCCACCAATTTTAATAGGTTACCAGTCTCAACCAGCGTGACATTAATCTCCCAGCACAACAGGCCTCTGCTCAGAGAAAGGCCTCTTTCTTTACACCCGGAGCCTAATCTGCCTTCAGCAGCAGGAACAAATAAGCCATTGTGAGAAAGTGAAAGAAAGTGACTGGCAGGGGAGTCGTCCACCCGCTAATGAGCTGTTGCCGATGTCAACTGCAAGGGCTGACAGAGAAGTCACAGCCGGATCAGCTGCACCAACTTATTTATTTCATTAAATTTGTATCCTGCCTTTTTTTTTTTCTAGGAGCAAAAGGCTGCATACACTACACTCCCAGTATCTGTTTTTCCTTCCAATAAGCCCAATAACAAAGTAGGTTAAACTGAAATTAGTCCAGTTTACTCCAGTTTAGCTTATTTGGGCTTTGGCCTCCAGTTTATTCCCAGTTAACCTACTTCAGTTTAAACTGAGGTAGATTAAACTGGACACCAATGCCATCCAGCAATTCTGATTTCTTTTTATTTCCAACTGCAGTAAATGACCAGAATAAACAACTGCTCTCCTTTGAGAAGTGCAATGCCATATTGGTCAATCTAACCTGATTTTGGGTCAACTTAAAACTAAGTTTTTTTGAATAAAAGAAAAATGATGAATATCCTCCAAACTTTCCTGCTTAGAATGAGTGCTTCACCTTCAAAAAGGCCATCTGCTCTCACTTCTTCCCATGTATGGTGTCTTCGTCCACCTCATGGACAACATTTCTTCCCATCCCGCAATTCATAGTCCTTACAGCTGAAAGACTAGGTTAAGAATTTGAAAGCTGAACAACTTTCTCTGGCCAACAATTTCAGGGAATTAAAGATTAAGATAAACTATTCCAGCATGTCACCAGATTTGGCCAGTTGATAGGACTGGTGTTTGGGAGAAAGAATGAAGTTCAACAGCAACTGCGATTACATCTTCACTGGCCAATCTAACTAGAGACCTAGCATGACACAAATCAGAATCTACGAAAATATGGTACTTATTTTAAACTAGTTCCAAACACACTTATTGCAGTTTGGGTATGGCTAAATTTATTTATCACTAGAACAGGGAGTGATCAAAGGTCCATGGACAGATACGGTGCACCTTAATTTATTTTTAACTCTATATATGCAGAAATAAAGGATAACTGAGTTTTTAGTAGACTAGATTTAGAAAGGAATAATAATTATAAGCCTCTTATATTAATATTTTTTTTAAAAAAGTGTTAGAAATATATCAACAATGTTTTAAGTGAATGGGATTTTCCCTAAATCAAGCCCAAAAAGAGAATAGATTACGGAATACATTATAGAAAATCATTACTACAATGGTATATGACAGTTAATTTCTTATTTCACATTCTCATGTAGCCAGATATCTTTCTATCTTGTTTCTTATAAAAAATATCCTTTTCAAGCCTTATTAATGAACTTTCTGATCTCCGTGAAATACTTTCTGTTATTTTAAACCTTAGCTAAGCTTGGAAATTTCAGCAGGGCTGATCTAATTAACACTTGTTTGGATGAGAGACCACTAGGAAATTCTAACCTTGTAAACTAGACTGGGAAGTCAAAAATAACATCCTAGAAGAAGGCAATGGCAAACTACATTATTGTTAAGGCCAGAAAGCTATAAGGATATATCTGTAAAGATGTCAGGAGTTGAGCTTGACTCAAAAGAGACTCTATCTTAATTTTAAGGCCATTTTCAAGGATTTGTAATTCTTACTATTAATCATTTCCAGCAATCCAATGAATAGGACATAGTTGATTACATTTAAGTCAGTAACATGTTCTGAACATTTTCATTAATAGGTATCAATTTATTGTCTATTAATCTGTTTTACTTAAAAATAATCATTGCACTGCTCTCTGTGATCAGACCTTTGCCAAGTCCTTTCATACATTTTCAACCTCTGGGGTATTATTAACATCACCACTTAAACACTAATGTTAGAAGCAAATCAATTTTCTATTTTGGATTTCCCCAGAGTATTCAGTATTCTTTACCATAAATTCACAATAGTTGATTTGAACTCAGTACAGACCTCAATTCCCTTGAGAGATCATGCCATGCAATTAAGGAAAGTTGCTGTATGCTTCACAGGACTTGGAGGTAGGAATACAGCCCAGTTTCACTTTACTAATAAAAGAATAAGGTTATTCCAGATTCTGATCAACAGATTTTTCTTGTCCAAGCACAGGTCAGGCATTTTTTTTACCCTAATTACAGCCTAAAGTATTGGGACACAATTTGTGTATCCCAGGTGTACAGCAGAGGAAAATGGGGCAAATGAGTCCTCCCAAGAGGCAAAACATCTGTATATACTGTAGATTAGTAGCTGTCACATTTAGTCCCAGATCTTATTTTGCACAAAGATCAGCTCTATCTCCACTTAATGTTTCATGGCTCATCTCGAGAAGACTTTCCCCTTAACGCCATTCACCCCATCCTGGGGACAAGAATATTGTTCTATCAGAATACAAGAGATTCAACAGAACCAAACTTGATTTCCGTTCAAGAGAAACTCTCTTGCCTTCCCACCTCTCATCCCATCCTTACCACGGAAGGAGAGCTTCATACGGGGATTGGTAGCAGTAGTTGTAGTCGCTTTCCCAGCGAGGAACAGAAGGAAGCCCAGTGTCTGGATCATAGCAGCTGCTGCCTCTTCTTCTCTAGACTCTGAACTTTGGGTGGCTGAAAGAAGGAAAAACAAGAATGAGACTATGCTCACTACTCTATCTGCTACACATAGAGGTTAACTCCTCCATTTTGTGTGTAATTTTCATCCTACTTCAGAAAGCTTGAATAAATCACAATGCAAATGATAACAAAGGTTAGATCTGGCTATTTTCTTCCCATTTTCAAAAGGTGATGTGGAGCGTTCTGCAAATCCCTCAAAGCCTAAAATTATAGTAGATATCCTGTTGGGACAATCTGTTTCAGAATGCCAGCATCTCTTGCTATCTTCAGATCCAACACTAAATGCAGCTTCCTCCAAGCCTCCTGAAATCTTTCATTTCCTTCTCTATCAGATACCCGAAACTTATAAATAAATGCATAATCTGTTGTAGCTATGCACAAAGGGTTACAAAATAATGCATAATTAATATTTCAACTTTAAACAGAGAAGGCTAAAACTGGCAGGCTTATTTGCTTTGCCTAGCAGACCAGGAAAAATACATAGTGCCAAGGCAATTAAAAAGCACTTATTTTGCACTATCATTTTTCCAGAATATTCTTCTGCGGTATCTGTGTTATACAAATCTGCAACCACGTAGATGTATTCTCTAGAAAGCAGAGCAACATTTTAAAATCTAACTATGTGATGTGTGGGCTGCTCTTAGGAATGTTTTTATTCAAATACATGGAATGACTGAGCTGCAATTAAATACAGTATATGGAATGTGTCATAGCTACAGGCTGACACGACTGCAGTATGTATTGCTAAGGATATTAAAAAGTTATCCAGGTATGATAGGAATGGCAAATCTGTTGCCAGACAGATGTTGCTGACCTATAGCATTCCCAGACAATCTAATTAATTATACTTGGATGAGATCAACCAGAGTGTTGTTTAGTATTTACAAACAGGAGAGCTGGATTCTCTTTTCACATTGCTCCAAGTCACTTTATCAGAAAACCAAGCAGTGAAAGTGAAACAAAAGCTTATGAATACAGGTATTTTCTACTCAGGTAAATCAGACACAAACTAATAATTCTTGAAAGACTGTTCAGAATTCACTCTCAAGACTCTAAAAAGCCTCCATAGGAATCCCACAAAAATTAGCTGTGGCTGTTGTTAAATTGAGATTGCAAAAGGAACAATAAAAGAGCAAACGCATGGATAATGGAAGAGTTTGCATGCAGGGCTACATTTTGAGTTAGACGTAAGGGTGGAAAATGATCAGTAAGAAAATGGAGGGGTGGGGACACAACTAGAATGTATCTATCGAATTTATTCATTTTTAAATTAAATTTATATGCTGCCTATTTCACTCTGAAAAGTGACTCTGGGTGGCTTACAATTTATTTATTTCATGCATTTATTTACTGAAAAAAAATATTACACTAGCAGTTTACACATAAAACATAGTCAAATCAAAAGACCACTAAAAAGCTAAACTACTGTACCATTTAAAAATAAAATAGTAAAAAATAGTCTATTCCAAAGGCCCTCAAAGGCTTTTCACGTCACTTTAGAAAATTCCTGATCTATATTAGAGGAAAATCGTGAACTGCAGTTTAAAATAAAGTTCTAGTAAATTGCTAAAACAACCAGCGTCATTATGCCTTGTTTTCGTGATCTGTTTAGAAAAGTAGAGGTCATTTTCACTTTGTACATATTGTCAGGTCAGGAGGAACTTGCTGAGTAACCTAAATCCGCAAGCAGCGCTGCAATTTTCAAGTCAGACATTATAGTTAGGATGGCAAAGGAAATTATGTCTAGATCCATAAACAAAGTAGAGAGATGTTTAGAGAAGGGAAGGGAGAAAAATAATCAAGAAAAGGAGGAGAAAAGGAGGGGGTGGGGAGAAGAATTGTGTAAAAAGTCAAGGCTCATGGGAATGGCTGTCAATTGTAGAGTGTGACCCTCCCCATGAGATGTCAGGAAGAATTTAGAGGGAGTTGCCCATTCTTTTCAAACCTGATTTGCCCAGGCAAATTTGAAGCACCATCCACATTCCCTCTGGGCTTAGTTTCCTGTTTGGTGAACCAGCTGTGGCCTTGGCCAAGCAATTTTGACAGCCCTCCTGCTTTGCCTGCACCCACATGCTGAGGACACTGTCAACTCCTGCTATGCTTTGCTCCTCACTTTGCCTGGGCATTCCTGTGGTGGGGCTTCCACAAAACAGGGCTATTGAAGAAAAAAAGATAAAAGATGGCAGCCACGATGATGGACTCAAAGCTCCATGAAATATTAAAGAACAGGTGGAGCTTCAATCACACTGTCATAGATATCCTGCCTTTTTTTAACTGTACCCTGTATCCTTGGAAAAAGTTCAGAGAAGAGCAACTAAAATGATCACAGGCTTGGAGACTAAAAATATGAAGAACGGCTGCAGGACTTGGGTTTGGCTAGTCTAAAGAAAAGAAGAAACGGGACAACATGATAGCACTATTCCAGTATTTGAGGGGCTGCCACAAAGAAGAGGGCATCAAACTATTTTCCGAAGCACCAGAGGGCAGGACAAGAAACAATGGTTGGAAACTAATCAAAGAGAGTAGTAACCTGGAATTAAGGAAAAACTTCCTAACAGTGAGGACAATTAACCAGTGGAACAGCTTGTCTTCAGAAATCGTGGGTTCTCCATCACTGGAGGTTTTTAAGAAAAGACTAGACAGTCATTTGTCTGAAATAGTATAGGTTCTCCTGCTCAAGCAGTGGGCTGGACTAGAAGACCTCCAAGGTCCCTTCCAGTTCTATTCTATTCTATTCTATTCTATTCTATTCTATTCTACTCTATTCTATTGACATCTTGCAACACAAGCTGAGACCTCTCCAATGCACGCAATTATTAAAAACAAGGCTATTTGTTTCCTGCCTGATCTTCACTGCAGTGAAATTATTAGATTTATTTATGGGTTTGCACAATTTCATGTAGGATTTTAGGGGGGTTGTGGTATCGTTAAGTTTCAGAACCACTGAGCTTATATAGTTGGGAAAAAGTCCCTTTTCCCAGTTAAATATCAGGTTTGGGATCAAGTGCCATCTCTTCAGAAACATTATGAAAGCCTATCTTATGTTTCGTGTATTATACTAAACGACAATGGAGTCTGTGTTTTGTTTAAAAGAATCTCTGCCCGTAGGGCTTTGTAATCTCTGATTTCTGACTTAGCATGATTTTTCACAACCATTTTTTTTACAAATCAAAGTTAGAACAAATCACCACTTACCACAAAGCTGATTTTCAAATAACTATGATTAACTGATCCTAACTAGGAGTAACTCTTCTTTTTCTCAGTCCTTCAGCCTTCTGAATGTAAAACAGGTGCTAGGCAACTGAACTACGTATTTTCCTCAAGCTTCTAAAGAAATCCTATAGTCACCCATACAAGAAAGAAAATTATAGATATATACCTACAGGTAATCCTCGATTTACAACCGTTCATTTAGTGACCGTTCAAAGTTACAATGACACTGAAAAAAGTGACTCATGACTGTTTTTCACACTTATGACCATTGCAGTATCCCCATGGTCACATGATAAAAATTCAGACACTTGGCAACTGGTTCATACTTATGATGCTCGCAGTGTCCCAGGGTCATGCAATCAGTTTATGAGAACTCCTGACAAGCAACACCAGATTTAAACAACTTTGTCACTAACTTAACAACTGCAGTGATTCACTTAACAGCTGTGGCACGAAAGGTTGTAAAATGGGACAAAATTCACTTAACAAGTGTCTCACTTAGCAACAGAAATGTTGGGCTCAGTTGTGGTTATAGGTCAAGGACTACCTGTATTATGATAAGCAATTTACATAATAGAATACATTTACCCTGTACAGAGTCAGACCTGTAACCAATCTAGTCCTGTACCATTATCATTTCTTTTGATTAAGTTGGATTTGTAGCTAAAAATCTCATCAATGTTGAGGAAGTGGACTTATTAGGAGGTCCATCAGAAAAAGGTACTGGATCCTGTTGAATTCCAAGAATCCTAAGAAGGGTTTGTGCCTGGTTTTAACCAGTGTTTCCCCTAATGCCCTGTTAGGCAGAATATGGAACTTGCTGGGGGACTTGATACCCATAGGACCTGGATAAGCAGCAGGACTTGAAGTTTAAAAACACCCAACTTTGCTAAGGCTCTACATAAAGCCCATTAGAAGATCTATATTGTTATATCTGCAGCAATGTTGTGAGGGGTGATAATCCTCTCTGTCTTCAGAAATCTGCTATAGGATTCTCAGAGTGTTGCTATGATAGTTTCAGGATTGGTTGGTTGGTTGGTTGGTTGGTTGGGGTAAAATTTCCCATAGTTGAGCATAGCCCTATCAAGAATTGTTCTAGAATCAACAGAAAGCTTGTTTTGGTTGGATTGAGATTTGTTTCTCGCTATCCAACCTGACATTCTCAAGACACTCGATCTGAACTCCTGCTGTATATCCAAGGAGGATCAGAGCTGAAATACAAAACTGGGGGGGGGGAATCATCTGCATATCGATGACACCTTTCCCTGACCAATAAATAATCCCTCCAAGAGCTTCATATAGATATTACATCGGACAGATGAAAGATCCAAACTTATTCCATAATGGAGTACTCAAGGGTCCAGTCTCTCCTCCCCAGTAAACACAAACTATTGCCTTATTTTAGGAAGGAGTGGAACCACCATATTAGAGTTGGAGGTACTGTACAGTTGATACATCCAACTGTAATCAACCTTTGGAGAAGGTTCAAAAGTGTATTGTGGTGGTCACTAGCGGTATCTATTAAGGCTGATGAGAGGTCCAGGCAGGCAAAGAAGTTTCACTTCCACCTTTAAATCTTGCCTTAAGGCATATACTGTATGAGTATGCATGTAAATTAGGTGAAAAATAAAGCTGGCCCTTTTGCCTGGGAAGGATATTATCAGGTGCTAAATGTGAGGTCAATGAGGAACAAAAGATAGACTAGCATGGGAACAGAAAGTGTTAATTGTAGGGCTTCCATCTATGAAGTCTAATTATGTCTGCCT